AAAAAAGGTTTATTTTAAAAAATTATGATAAACTTGTATTGTTTTTTTTTTGCAAATTACTATTTTTTAAATAGAGATTACTAATTTGCAATGATTCTGCTGGTGGCTGGGTTCAACTATATAAAAATCTTGGAGATATATGTATGTAATACTTTCATGAATCCAAATGGTACCCTTTTTTTCCAATCCAATGGTTTATTATGTTAAGTGGATGCGTTATCAAGAGATATATTTATAGGTTTCGCTGTCTTTAAAATCCAAATTAATTATAACTATAACTAAAATCTTTTATTTAAATAATATCATAAAAAACTATACAGTTGTTTGGTTTTTACTGATTTGAGATTTAGATCGACTTAGATAAATGTTTGATATGTTTCAAATTCTACAATGGTTCAATAACAAAAACTTATAATTTTTTTTATTTTAAATAAGGGCCAAACTATATTGTCCGATATATCTCAAACTTTGCAATATTTCTATTTTTGAAATGTAAGATAGAAGTAAAAAGAAAAAACGAATATTTTTCAAATAAAGTGATAAAGTTGTAAGCTAAATCTTTCCAAACATTTACAGTAATAGTTAGATAGGTTTAAAGTCAATATTTACACATATCAAGATCAATTAATTTGTTACCATTGGCCTTTTTTGAAGTTATGGTAAGTGTCGTCTTTATTTAGAGAATACTTAAACTATAGACGCTTTGAAAATGAAAACGTGTGAAATTAGCTATATACCGACAAGTTATCGAAAATAATCTCAAAATTAGTCATATAAATGATTTTTATCTATATTCCACACCAAAAAGTAACGTATAAAAAAAAACTGAAATAAAGATTTGATCAAAATCTGAGTCACAAATGTAATTCTTTTACGTTGATTTTCGGAGCCACAAAACGGATAACCTAATATAGTGGTTAGATTTTTAGATTTAAATTTTAAAATCGGGTTGGGAACTTGTCATCACGTCACTGCATGCTTTGAGAATTATTGTGACGTACCCATTTTAGTTCCATAGAAGAGTAGCAGTAAGAACGCCATTATGTTCTTTGGAGAGTTGTTGCCTAATCCCGTTATAAGTGGATAGACAGTGGATAAGTACCGAAGTCTGAGTCTGACGAGGCTATCAAAATGACACAAAATGTGTTCTGCTGTTTCCTCTTCTTCGCAACAAAGTCTGCAATTATCGTCTCTAGAAATACCTAGGTTCGATAGATAGTTTTTAACTCCGCAACGCCATGTGAGAAACCCTGTGACAGATATATATCTTAATCTCAAATAATAATTCTAAAAACATCTTATATATGTACATATAAAATTATTTTCATTTTATACGAGTACTAGTACATATGTACATAGTAAACTCATCTTAAAGATGATTTGTGCCTTGAATACAAAAGAAATACATATTCTTATTGTATCTAACTTCGAATATCAAAATGAATTTACGATTTTTTACAAATTATAAAGCAGTTTTATGTGCAAGTATTTGTACGGATGATTGCTGCGCAGCGCTGCTCGTGTAAAGTATCTTTGCTTGTGTGGTTTGTTTTAGAACAGCTGCTGCCACATTTGCACAACTTTGCTAAAACATCTCACAATGCAATGCATTTAACAAATGTATCTGTAATATAATTTTCGTTTTTCATTTTATAGTTTACAATTTACGATATTTTTACTGTTTATTATGTTAGGATAAGCAAAGGCATTAGCAGCAGTTATTATTCGCCCTTTTTCCGGTGTCTTAGCATTTGAGTGCCGCATCCATTGAACTATATTTTTATACATTATTCAAATAAATTAAATTTGTACAGAATTTTATGTATGTGAAATCTTGTCTAGTATCTATATGCAGTATGCACTTTTCGATTATTTTTTTCATTTTGTTTTTAATTTAGTTTATTATGTTTGCACAAGCATTTTATGATTCCAGGTAGTCATAGACATTGTATCTACACAGTGCAAGTATCTTTAAGTAGTGTAACAAAACACCACCTTTTTAATTTCAAAATGATTTTTGTTTTTATTTTTTCTCTTCTTTCTTTATGTATGCATTTTTTCTTAGTTTGAATTTTTCATAACAAAGAAATAGAAATTTAAACCCACTGAGCTGCGTTGCACTATTGCAAATCTTTACAGTCGAAATATTTATTTACAACTACAACTGCGCTCACTTGCACATGAGATACGCCAAACACATAATTAATTGAATAAATTTTAGATATCATAGATGACATGAAAAATGTCATTTATTATAATTTGGATTTAAATTTTCTTGCTTGTCTTTCATTTGAAATTTGTTAAAGGTGTGTCTGTCTTTAAATGTTTTATAAGGAAACGATTGATTATGTTACATACATAGTAGGAAACCTCAATCAATATCTTTAAGATAAGAGAAAATAGTTTTCATTTAAAAATTAATTTCATCATAAACACAGTTTTCTACAGGACTTTTAGATTTTTAATCTAAAAATTGTAACTTTCAATTTAATTAAAACATGGTTTTTAAGAGTACATGCTTTAGAGATCTCAAAATGGATATCACATAAAATTTGAATCTTATGCTGTGATACACTACTCAACATAATAACACATTTCGAAATAATTTGCTTTAATCTCTCAGTAAATTTATCCATTGATTTATATAGTTAGGCTTATTAGAGAATATATTTAAGATTACAATAAAATTAAAATGAATTTCAAGCGTTCTGGAATGATCCCCAATTATATGAAATATCATGTTGTATGTTGTATTGTGAATTATTTTTGGTATGGGAATATACATGCAAGAATGACAAATTTGAATGACTAGTTATATACATAAATATAATGTTTAAAAATATTAATGATGTTATGTATTTAAACAGAATTTTCAACAGCAATCATAGCAGAGAAGGAAGCATAAAGTAGCCATCAAAAATGTGAGTTACTGTTTACTCTAGGTGACCACGTAGATACCTTAGATCATTATTTATGTCCTATTTTCTCATCACTGTATTGGTGAATAAAATATATAAAATTGTAAT